AAACCCAGACAGGAACGTCATCTGTTGGATAGATGGGATAAATCCCACTGATTTTTTGTCCTGACTTATAGATGTCAGAGCAGTCGAATGGCATGAATTTACAGTCATTGCCCAATACAACTGGAAGAAGAGCCACCAAAAACAACATCATCTACAGAGACAGAGAGAAAGAGATTAACTTCACACTGAAATGAAGCTGCAAACATCTTTAGGAATGTAGAGTTATTGATGAACTTACTTCCCACTTCTCAGGCTTTCCTCAGTAGATCACAACAGAGATCTGTTTTACCTAGACAAAAATAACAAACACTTGTCTGAAATTTCAAATTTATGAATTTTCTGTAAAGTAACTCACCATTTGTGTTGTTCTGTTTGAAACAAACAGTCCTTATATATCTGTCAGATTTTCAGGCTCCTCCTCTGCATCTTTAAATGTCCACTATGAAGCTCTAGATGTCTAGCTACATGATCATATTATCTGTAATTTATGTTTAGAGAAAGAGAGAGGGAGATTCAAAATTAAATATTGGATTCTGTATTTAGCCTCAGTGCAAATAACCCATCCTGCTGGCAAAGGTTATTTACACACTAACTCGCACACCATCGCTTATAACAAAGACCAAAACGGCCACAACTATTTTATTTATATTATTTAATTTAATTATATTTAAAGTGTACTTTGCCTCTGACACACTCCTCTGACACAGCCTGACTACTTGCACTCAGATGATCTTGTAGAGCCAGACATATATATTTTGATAGCAAACCCAGCTAACAAAATATGTCCTCTGAATGTTCAAAATGTCCAGATTTTTAAATGTTTTAAAAGCGGTTTTCTCTAGCTTATATGAAAGATAAGGGAACTTTCCATATTATCATTCTGCAAACATTATGCGAATGTTACTCTCGAATGGGAACGTTCTGAAAGAAGCAGCAATATTTAAAAAAACGGTAGATGAAGTCCATCCAAAACATTTGTGCTAATGTATTGAGTACATTAGTAAATACCAGAGAATTTGGAACAAACATTCTGTTCATGTTCATTCTGTTCATGAAAAAAGGTCAAGTAAGTGAATTGTGTTTTAGGAGCAGCTGGCCTGAGTTTGAATCTATTCCTATAACTTATTAGCTCAGAGTAATTCATTTTAATCTAAAATGAAGAACATATTAGAAAAGTGGAAGGAAATTTAGGGGTATTTAATAGACCTATAATAGAAATTGGATGTGGTGTCCTCACACTGAATAGATTGACTGAACCTTGACCCATGTAACTCAAAGTAAAATGTTCTGGAATAAAATTTGAAAGTAAATAATGTTTTTTTGTGCTGACGTTTCGAGAACGTTAATAAATACCAAATAACTTTGAACAAAAATACTGACAGAATGTTTGCTCACAACTTTGAAAGAATGTTCGCTGTTAGCTGTGCTTTAATATTTCACTCTTTAATTTTACACTTTTTTTTGTTTTCACCTGTACATTATATTTTGAACATGTTGTGTGTATTCACTCTATTACTCTGATTATGCCACCAAATTAAAGTGATAATTAAAGTCATGACATGCATAACCAAATTTCCCTTGATCTATTGATACAGAAGAGGTATTTCTATGGTCAATGCATCCTGCAAGTTTCATAACCTAAAATGTCCTCATAATCAATAAGAAAGCATTTAATAACCCTCAGCTCGTTTTAGATCCTATGGGGCAAGAAGTCTAAAAGGAGCTGCCCCTTAAAAACAGCCTGTTTCTGAGAGAAGTTCAGAAGGAGGGTTGAAAATAATCATTTCCCACATATTTGTTGCTGTTGTTGTTGTTTTGTGCAAAAAACTTTATTATCATTATAAGTAAACCTCAAGGAACATATTAAAATAATAAAACAATCCGTGTCATGACCCCTTTCAAGAAAGAAAAGTCAAAAGAAGAGGTTTCCAGCTTTAAAAATGCTATTTTCATTGCTGTTTAGATGTGTAGTCATGTTGGGATCGAGGGAAGGTTCACAGTAAATTCTGTAGAAATAATAGTTTGTTCTCGTTGTATGTTTTTGAGTAAGTGCTGTTTGTCCTCGATGGGTTTTGGTCTTGAACGTGTTCTAGTGAAAAGCTAAAGAGCTAATTACAGATCACATGACCTCCAGCTTTGTGTGTGAATGTGTCAGAACTGAAATTATTCTTATATTGGTTTTTGGGACGTCAACAGCGCAAAGTAATCCATTTTGCTTTCAGAGAAAACATCATATGTTTTTGTCAAGAGTACACATATATAAAAACAAATAAAGGACTATGTAGACACAAATACTGACAGTGTTGTGAAATGTCAGTCTGTTTACCACTCAAACATCAAAACTACTGAAGAGCAAACCACTGGGGATGTTTTAATTTGAACATGTCATGTCATCGGCAAAGAAAACATGAATCCAAGAAACATCTAACAATTTGTCATGTAACATTTAATTCTACTTAAAGGGATTTCCCACAAAAGCCAGCTGTGGGGAAACACAGACTTCCTACAAGAACATGTTGTCATATCAACTTTATATCACATCTAAAATACATTTAGTGTGATTGCATCTTGTTATATTGCATCTGTTTGAATTTCTAGTTGCCAGCACATATTCCCATCTTTGTCTACTGTCACGAATCCGGTCCATGAACTTTCCTTTTCATTGAGTCTCGC